GTTTTATATGCTGATTTGGTGCTCAAGAAACATTTCTTATTATTATCAATGTTGAAATCAGTTGTGCTGCTTAATAGTTTTGTGAAAACCATGATACATCTTTTTCAGAATTCTTTGATTAATAGAAAGTTAAAAAGAACAGCATTTATTTTAAATAAAAGTATTTTATAAAATTATAAATGTTCGTGTACACACATACACACACGCATATACAGTGGGTACGGAAAGTATTCAGACCCCCTTAAATTTTTCACTCTTTGTTATATTGCAGCCATTTGCTAAGCTTCATGTAAAATAAATCTTTGATATATTTTTTATATTTATTGATTATATGCCTATATCATGCAATGTTAGTGTGCATTTTTTCAAGAGTACTGTTCATTTCTTTGTAAAATGCGGGCAAAAAGTACTGAGTGCACCTTTAATGCCTTTGACAAAAGCAAATAATATATTTGCGCACAATCTTGAAGTCTCATTATTTCGGCTGTTTTTCTTCTTGAAAAATATAGTGCTACACGGCTCTTCTGTGATGTTTACAATCCACAAAGCAAAACCTACTGTAAGAGACTGCAGGTTCTCTGTCCAGAACACTCCAGAGACCCAAAGGTACTTTACCACGTGCATTTGATACATAAACGCCCAATCTGCATAGATATTAAGAACATTAATCAGAACTGTGCATGTATGCATGCAGGTCCCTGTGGATGAGGTCTGTGGGTGTCCATTAGTTCGTGATGTATTTGAAACCACCGGAGAATATTGCAGGGTGTCCAAACGCAAGTGTAACAAACACTACTGCTGGGAGAAGCTCCGCAGGGCTGAAGTGGACCTGGAACGAGTCCGAGTGGTCAGTGCATTTGCAAAAGAATCGTTTATTTGAAGGAAAGAATTTATTTATTTGGATCAAAGAAAATAGCTGTGTAATTGTAAACTCAAAGTGATTAAGATGTTCTTGCTTTTCCCACAGGAGTGCATTTTTATTCATCAATCTTATATTTAATCTTTCATTTCTTTAATCATTCCCATTATGTCTTCTCTTTCCCTAGTGGTACAAGTTGGATGAATTGTTTGAGCAGGAGCGCAATCTAAAAACAGCCATGACGAATCGTGCAGGTCTCATGGCCCTCATGCTGCACCAGACAATCCAACACGACCCAGTTACCACAGACCTGAGAACTAACAAGGACAGATAAGGTTACTGTCATTCCCTTTTATCATCTTTTCATCTTTTCTCCATTCCATTTGCACATAATGTTCAACCATGAAGCAACTCTCCTGACAGTCTGAGGTTTTGTCTTTGATCTTAAAGAGAAAAGGAACCATTGCTGGTGAAGTCGCCTCACGTTTGTGAAGAGTCAGTGTCATAGTAGTTGCTTGTTGAAACTGTAATTCATGTACAACACTCTTCATGTTTCTGCATTCACGTAGCCCTTGGCTTTACTCTTTTGAATGGTGCTGTGACAACATTGAATTGTTGTGCTTACATTTTTTTGATTTGTAAAGAATTTCATAACCATGTATTGTGCATAAAAAAAAATAAACTGGAGGAAGATTGAAATATTTTTCTTGCTGGTGAAATGTCTTGTTATTTGTCTTTAGGTTGCATTTCTTGTGCCTCTACACAAAAGTATCATTATGAAGGGTTTTTTGGGCTGATGGGTTTTCTATAGTCCAGATGTGGCCAAATTATTTTAACATTTTTGAGACTTATTACAATGAAAAGTTTGACCAAAGTTTAGATTCATATACATTTAACCGGTACATTTATTCTTCTTACAGGGTTGCATGATTGATTCAAAACTGGTTCATTCTAATTGTGTTCCATGTAAAATGTCAAAATTTCATGCTTTTTCCTCTGATCAGCATCATCAACGACCTATGACTGGAATGGCGTGATTCTGAGGTAACCTTAATGCATCTCACATTTCATAAATGATTAAGAATTAGAATGGCGATTACCAACAGATAAGTCGCAAAAACACTATTAGAGAGTAAATGTTAAAGTGCCTCTTTCTCTAGAACCGCGAAATGTTTAATAATAAATTACATCGCAGCCAAATTATTATCAGTTATAATAATGGCAAAGACATTTATTTGACCCTGATCATTTTTGGCGTTTAAATTTGAGAAGTTAAACGTAATTCAAATAGATAAATAAAGTCCCTTTCGGATATAGATTCTAAATTTCTTTGTATTCAAAATTTTAAATCTGGTGTTATTAATCTAGGCTGAAGAACGATGGTGCGTCTCGTCGAAAATAATGTTATAATTTGCTGTAGCGATGCGCGAGTCGGCGATATTATTTATATTCCCGTTGAAAAAACCAGCATACGCTGGTTAGGTATGTTTTGACGCTGGGATGCTGGTTTAAGCTGGTCCTTTGCTGGTTTTAGCTGGTCCTTTGCTGGTTTTAGCTGGTCCTTTGCTGGTTTATGCTGGTCCTTTGCTGGTTTATGCTGGTCATGTGCTGGCAAAGGACCAGCACAAACCAGCAAAAGGACCAACACACACCAGCAAAAGGACCAGCACAAACCAGCAAAAGGACCAGCACAAACCAGAAAAAGGACCAGCACAAACCAGAAAAAGGACCAGCATAAACCAGAAAAAGGACCAGCATAAACCAGCAAAAGGACCAGCATAAACCAGCAAAAGGACCAGCATAAACCAGCAAAAGGACCAGCATAAACCAGCAAAAGGACCAGCATAAACCAGCAAAAGGACCAGCATAAACCAGCAAAAGGACCAGAATAAACCAGCAAAAGGACCAGCATAAACCAGAAAAGGACCAGCATCCCAGCGAAACATACCTAACCAGCATATGCTGTTTTTTTCAACAGGGTCGTACACGCTTATCACAAAGACCAACAGACAAACTCCGAATAACTACAGTTACTGATAATCTAGCTTTATTATTGTTTTACACTAAATGCGAGTATTATTGCAAGGACTCTGAACTCTGACCGACCGACTGATCTACCGCTAAATGTAATTATTCGACACCTCAGTCAGGATCGACTTCCTACGATGCTTGAGTCAGCACATGCGCAGTAGTTCGCCGAAAGTATCGCTGATCGGAGACGGAGCGCCTCGGCAGATGAACGAGCCGATCGACTGCGCGAGACGCGACGAGGTAAGAATGTCAAAATGCTGCAAGTCTTCGATGCGCTGTTTTCGTGCAACGGCAAAAACGCGTTCTTATAAAACGCACACAACGTTAGAACTTCGATATATCGCTGTAGTAAAAGAGTGGAAAGATCGGCGTGGTTCCGTGCAGGAGAAAGCGTTCGGAAAGTCGTTTGCGAGGCTGCATCGCTGAAAGCAATGGGGAGCGTGGAAGCCAAGGGGAGGGTCAACAGTGAAGGGGGGGCTGCTTGAGCTCATTCAGCACAGCGAAATGGACGTTGTAGAGTCGTGCAAAATAAACTTATTGTGTCTTTAAAATCTGCCACAATTAATAAGGGACGTTGTCAATGAAATGCGCGTACAAAACGCGTGATGTTTGATAGTAATGTCGTTAAATCGGACGTGTTTTTGATCGCGCGACGGGACAGCACTCCTCACTCCAGCGATCTGTAATGGAGGCTGGCGAAACTCGTGTCGATTTATTACGATCTGTTTATTTTGCTCGCAGGTCATTTTTAGAGGTAGGAATGATAGGAAATTGCACAAACTATAACTTTAGTTTTAAGTTAGTTAAGTTAATTTGCGCTGAAAAGTTGCACCGCGCTATTTAATTCCGTTTCAGCGAATTGTTTACGCGCTTTTTGCGCGATCTATCGGTACTAATAATGACCACGAGAACAAACAAATCAATTTCTATTAGTGCCACGTAATTAAAAAAAATATAACATCAATAAAAGCTTCACCGATGTCAATCAAATTGTATTACTAACATTATATAATAATAATATTACAGCATTGTCAAATTTTAGCATATTCCACAAGGCATCTAAATAAGTATAATGCACAGTGCAGAATATGTTCACTTCTTGGGACATACTAAAATGCGTATTTTAAAAATTGACCATGAAGAACTATTTCATAAACACTGCCAGAGCAACAACACAACAATCCCAACCTTAATGATCATAATCACTGATCTGATGGTCATGTAATCAAAATGCAAACAAACGTTTTTCTTTCTGTTGCGTCACATCAAAAGGAAAACAGTTAATGTTGTTTAAAGTATTTTTGTTTTTATAATTCCTTTTAACATTTTTGTTTTTAAGCATGTTCTCTTGAGACAATTTTATAGACCGATTAATAACTAAATGAATTTGCTTTTCAGTTCATTGTGATTTATTCGGGTACACAGTTCTGTATTTTTATAGCAGCTAAGTCAAACTATATTTCGCAACAATGTCTATAGAGAAATGTGCTGTTTGCAAGTGTTTGCAGACATTAACATCTCATTACAAATATTGCATTTTGTGACTACATTGAATGGAGTTTGATAATTACTAGGGATGCACCGATATGAAAATTTTGGCCATACCGATAACCGATAATTCTTTATTTTTGAAAGCCGATAACCGATATGTTGGCCGATAAATCTATATCCAAATTTTTATATACTTTTTGAGAGCCTGATTACAAAAAAGGTCTCATCATTAAAAGCCACATCCCAAACACTTCAACATAAGCAGCCTAGTTTGAACGGTGTACATTTTAAAAATAATTTTACTCTCCCATTACCAAATTTAGTCATAAAAAAGTCTTACAAATAAATAAAATAATGCATAAATAATGCAAACAATACCGATATGGTGGCCGATATATCGTGCATCCCTAATAATTACTGATGATGAAACATATTGAAACTTAAAAAATTTATTTTTTATTTGTTCCACAGTTTTAGAAAGTTATCGTACGTATAAAGATGAGGAACTTTTCGACTAAAACTTGACTAAAAATTAGTTTTGGTACATTTTCGTAGTAGTAGTTACTAGAAAAGATAAAGTTGTGTTGATAATGAGCTGCTGTATTTGTTACTTTTTTGGCTATATGAGAGCTCACTAGTTCAAATTGCTAGTTCAGCATTTGAGATTTTAATGTCACTGAATCAATTCGGTGAGTTACTTACTGACTTATCAAGAAATCGTCTTACTTAATCCGTATTATTAACTAAACCAATCACCCTGTGACCCAGATTTAAACTAAAACCCACAGCGAGATTAGATTCATACTGACATGTTGATTACATCTATTTTGTCAGGTTTGTATTGTTCTTATAATTGTGAAAGTGCTTATTACCTTGGTCAGCCTTTCAGTAGTTTTCTTAAACAGCAGTTGTATTAAAGGGGTCATATGACGTTGCTAAAAAAGAACATTATTTGGTGTATTCGGTATAATGAAATGTGTTTATGTGGTTTGAGGTTCAAAAAACAAATTTTTTTCCACATACTGTACATTATTGTTTCTCCTCTATGCCCCGCCTTTCTGAAACGCGTCGACTTTTACAAAGCTCATCATTCTGAAAAGCGAGGTGTGCTGTGATTGGCCAGCTATCCAGTGCGTTGTGATTGGCCAAATACCTCAAGCGTGTGATGGAAATGTTACGCCCCTTACCATACTGTGATGCCGTGTCCTGGTGCGATGAGACAAAACCAATAAAACCCATTATAATGAAATGTATTTTTACGCGTTGCATTGCATCGCGCCGCGTAAACATAAAACCATGTCTGCATTTGTGATCGGAGAAATGACAAACAACAAGCGCCACTCTACACTGCTCAAAACTCGCGTTTGAATCATCAGTGGCAAATTCTTTAAATATGAAAATGTACTTACAGGCTGTGAGTCAGCATTATTTGTCAACATCATAGACTGTATAGGGTCAGCATGCTCGCCGAAGGGGAAACAGGGGAACTGAATTCACCGGAACACTGGCAATGTAGGCTACTCTCCCAGGAAACAGTCCTCGTCCTCCGTAAAATGCGTTGCACACATCTGAATATTTGGTTTGAACTGTTCTGGAACAGTGTTGTAGATACAACTTAACCACTGATTTCTAGTTGTGTCCTCTTTTGGAAGGCCAAACAAAGTAGTTTCTTTTATAAAGAATATCTCTTTGGGTTTGAGACTTTAGTCTTTGCAACTTTAGGGATCTTATTTATTCACGAACAGCTTGTAACACTCCAAAGAGAAAGGAAAACTTGAAATCGCATCATATATGACCCCTTTAAACAGTTGGTCTGGTTGGTTTTATAATTAGGGTTTCGGGAAATTAAGTATTTTCCATTAAACAAACTTTAACAAACGCTGGCTGCTTGCTGCACTGTATCGCATTTCTTTGCCATAGTAATTGCGCTGCATTGCAGATGTCGAATGTTCTCAGCCCATTTGTATCGACTTCCCTGCCGTCGCTGCTGGACTCGCTGCAATTCTGTCACCATGGCAACTGCTCGTTTCAGCCCCGTTCTATAAATATTCTCCTTCACGCTAGTCTATCGTGTTTCTGCTATCTTTGCAGTGGCCTAATTTAATAGAAGGGTTTTATTTACATCGGTTACGTTGCATTGGGAAAGACTTTCTTAGAAACTGTTGCTTAAATGTTTTATTGGTATGCAGATCGTGATACAATTACGTAAAAAAATCATATTTCTCTTTGGCAGTTTCTTAAATCATCAGTGACAATGTTAAGCTGTGTGTGTGTGTGATTGGTTTGGAATGCATCTCAATACAAAGTATGTCTATAGAAATGCATTTTTGTTCTTCACATCTGCTTTTTCTTTACAGGTATGATTCATAACCAGTAAAGTCATGGATGAAACATTGGATTTTTGACATTTCATGCAACCCAAGCTCTTCATAACTTTTTGAGATGAAATTTATACTTCCAATTTCTATGGACTACAAAGGTATTTTTCCTATTTAAAAATGTGAGCTGGCGGTTCAACATCCGAACTCTTCCTTGCATGGCTTAAAACCATTGGTCTCGCAAATCTACTAGTAATACAGAGGCCTCAAGGCCAGAGAACGGGATCAGATATGACGGATGAGTTGAACAGGGCCTCAGCTGAACCGGAGATGACGAAACCAGAAGAGACTGTGCCGATTGAAGCAGACGACGTTACTGACGATGTGGATAATGCAGTGGGGAACAACATGCCTGGAAAGGTGACGCCCGAATCGCCACCTGATTGGCTGAAGCCAATGGAGGGGGATGAAGATGATGGTGGTGAGGGTGTCAAGAGCAGTGAACGGATCATTATGAAGACCAATGATGACGTGTATGTGCTTATACCTCATTTTTGTTTACATTTAGTGTGATGTTTTATAGTTTGTGTTAGAGGTGCAACAATATATCATGTCACAATATGTCACAGTACAACATTTTTCATATCAGTTGATATCAATAATTATCATGATACATGTTAAATTATTTATTTTCAAGTTTAAAGGCAGATTTCTTCTCCTGAGTGAAAGGTGTAGAAACCAGACCTGATTTAATTGTGGTTTTAAATGACTTTTTTTTTTGTCAGAACATGACAAACACTTTTCAAATAGGTGAACATTTCACAAATATGAGGTACAACATTCAAAACATTTATAATAATATTTATTTTCTACATCGATACATGCATGAGTAAGTAAATCAGTAAGTCAGTTTTCATTAACAAAATATCTTAATTGAGAAATAAATTTCTTGGTTTCTGCATGTTCTAGCGGGTGATATTGTTTCAAATCACGAAACAGGTTTATGTCCCCTGACTTCGATGACACGAAGCAGATGTAAATTTGTGTTCATTAACAAAAACAGTAACATCTGTAAAAATTGTAACAACCTATACGGTAAAATTTAGGTAAAATATAGTAAAAATGGGCTACGTTAGGGCTCTACTTTTATCAACATTTTTGCATTAAAAAATGCAAAGTTAGGGCTCTACTTTTATCAAAATTAACCATTGGTCCTCTACAGTATCATACAATTAGATCATGATAAACAAAGGTAAAAACACACATAGCACCTCATTACCATGGTAAAATGTAACTGCGTATATGGTTTTTATGATATTTGTATGAAAAACAGTAGCCTAAATACATTTAGTATAAATAAAAAAAAATGCTATAGACCCCCCCCCCCCACACACTTACATAACCTATGGTTTTGAGCAACGCTGCCACTTATTGAGACCATAGACTGTAAAAAAAAAAGATGGACGATGCGTCTCCACTTCCTTTCACTATAGAAACGTGAAGCCAAAACATCTCAGTATGGCCGCTGTCATCTTGCGAAAATTATGTCATTTGGAGCCAGAGTCTGCGCTGTATTGATCGTGAGGTGGAGCCACGGTATCAAAGTCTCGGCCAAACTCCTGCCGACCCAATCGCAAGCTCACAATCATGACACCACACCCCATTTTTATAGCATCAAATAACTAACTAAAAGCAAACTTATTAGAAAAACGAACACTTGAATATACATCAGTGTGATAAGAACTACCTAAAATGACGGAAACCATCATTGGAAAAAATTATTTGAAGTGTAATTTGATTATTTAGTTGGTCTGAAGTCCCATTCGATTACATGGAGAGGGTGGGGTTTATGACATATACTGGGTCCAGCCACCTGGGGGCGATCAGAACATTATATTGAGCATGTGTTATCATTCTATCGAGGGAAAATATATTGTGATAATTATCGTTATTTTATCACCCAGCCCTAAACATAGTGAGAGTTTAGACATTAAATTTAGCATCAAATATGATGTGGCAAATAAAATATTGTTGATTTCATGTTTATTATTTATAAGTTAAAAATAAAATGCATTATTTAGTAAAATATAATATTTAAAACATATTTAAATGATTAAATATATAAATAATAATTATAAAATTTTCTTTTGTAAAGATTTGTACAGGTAAGATTTGCTTGCTTCCATTTGAAGCTCCTCAAATCGTGCTGTAGAATATGATTATGAAGTTTTGTTCATGTCATCTTCAGCACTGCTTTCGTTAATCCAAAAAGAAGACAGTCCAAATATGAAGAGATTCAGAAATGCATTTCTGCCGTGACAACTCTCGGGAGAGTTTAGCATGATAATATACATGGTAGTGTCAACCTGTTTGGTCTTGGCGGAATAGATCTGCTACACTGCTGCTGCTGCTGTTGCAGAGAAAGTACCGAGACTTGCTCCTGCCAGTACATCCATGACATGCTGCTGTGAGCATGTAAGAAATATTGCTGCTGCACATATAACATATATGAGACGACCCCATATAAAACATACATAAAGCACCCCGTATCAGATCTATACAGGTGGAGCTGGGGAAGGTGAAGGGTTTCTGAAGCATGCTGCCACTGCTACAGTGAGCACTAGCAGAGTATTTGAATGTTTGAGCAGCAAGCTCATTGGCTGCTTGCACAAAAAGAACCAATCAGCTACGTCACGTGAATAGTGATGTCATTATGTCAGATTGAGTTAGAACCTATCGGCCTGCGCCATCTAGAGTTTCATGACAGAACTTTGTATTTACATTTTTTAGTTGACTTTTCACTCAAACTGTTGTGCTGAATATTTGCAATTAAATGTTTTATTACATTAAAAAATGCTAAATATAAGCATTTTCACTAGTGGTCTCACACTTTTGGACCCTTTTTACAAAAATATATATTTAAATCCATTTGAAAATAAATCACATTTGATAATTATATCACACCTGTTGATCATGTTCAGTTGATAAACTGACTTGCGTACTTTTCATATTCTCACAGTCCAAAAGTAAAGCGACGCAGAGGTCGGCCTCCGATTGCCAGAAATGTTAGACATGGACTTACTCGTTTAGATTTCAAGAAAGGATTGCATGCAGATCTCCCTAAAACTAAGGTTTGTGTAGCAATCTGTCTTAATTTAGAGTTTATTTGCACTGTAGAGTGAATAATTTGTATGCACTTTGGATGCATTTATTTGATCAAAAATACAGTAAAAACAGTAATATTGTGAAATATTATTTCAGTTTAAAATAACTTGTTTCTGTTGCAATATAATTTAAAATGTAATTATTTCCTGTGATGCAAAGCTGAATTTTTAGCATCATTACTCCAGTCTTGATCCTTCAGAATTCATTCTAATATGCTTTGATTTGCTGATTTGCTGCTGAGTTGTTATTAAATCTCAGTTATTACTTTTAATGTATTTTTAATATGTTTGTATATTTATAGGATGTTTTTGTGAATTTTATTATATAAAATCAACATTTTTTGTTTAAACGCTTTAATTAGTTGTGCTTGCTAAGATTGCTACTTTTCTAAATAACCAGGAATAAAATTTCCAGAATTTTAGGAGTAAATTAATTTTATCTTCTTCAATCTTTTAATTTAATCATATATGATATTATTACAATATTTTTGAAACACTTTCTTCTTTTCTATGTGGTTGTTTGGCATATGTAGACTGTTCGTTCTCTACCGGAAAGAACGCGTTCAAGTCCCACATCAGGAACTGCCATTCCTGTCCCAGATCCACCCCGCACGCCTGAGGTTTTACCCAGAAAACCCCAGAGCATCATTCACAACTCGACAGCAACATCTCAAAGACCCCGACTCATGCCCGTCTCACCTGCAGGGGGCAGCAGCCTCTCCAAGACCCCCAACGCCGAATTTCACAGCCCTCCGCGCCTCACAAGGGTCTCGCCGCTCAGTATCGACACATTGGTGACACGGAATTTCGTTCACTCTCCAGCTGTAAAAGTGGGTAATGTTTCCCAACAGATTGTTTCCTCTACTGAACCTGGGAAAGATGGCACTGAACCGCCCCTTCGACTCTGGCTTTGTCCTTCTCTGGAGCCCATTAGCCCTACAAAAACGCAGGATACGTTCTCAGATCAGATTGTAAATTCACCAAATTTTCCGGAGACTACACTTAATGGAACAGTGACCCTAAAGGAAAGTCTTTCTCTGCTCAGGTGAACAAATCTGACTAATTTCATACCACCTAGATACCACCTAGAAGTCTATTTTGTATGCTCTACTTTTAACTAGGACGTTCACAAATGTTTTAACATTGCATCCAGTTCAGGGTTTCTGCAGGTCTTAAAGGGGTCCTATTATGCTCTTTTACAAAGTCTTGATTTTGTTTTGGGGGTGTACTAGAACATGCTCTCATGATTGGTGGTTCGAAAAATGCATTATTTTTCACATAATTTACATTATTACAATACCTTTCTCCCCAGGCTGGCACAAACGGCTCGATTAGTTCCCCTTTGATAAAGGCCCGCCTTCCGAAAAACGAAATGTGTTGTGATTGGTTAGCTGTCCCAGTGCGTTGTGATTGGCGAACAGCTTAGACGGTGTTTCAGTACTGCCCCGCCCCCTGCCAAAAAAAGCAGCAAGTTCCGTCTGCTCCGGTATAGTTAAGGATGGCGTCAATATTGCCATATCAATTTGAGCCGGATTCAGACCCAGAGAATATTGAGGATCGCGCAGAACCTTTGCACGCATGGATATTGCTAGACATATTAGAGTGGTAACATTATTGTTTTTTTTTTGTGGCTAAATCACGTTTTAGATAGGATGTCAACTACCGCTAAAAAATAACTGCATGTACTATGTACAGATAAGTGCAATGGTAATATGTATTATGTTTATTGTTTTTTAATTCTAACATTCTAACATGAATTGCAGTGAAACTGTTATATGGTTGAATTTATTATTACCATAGTCTCATTATTGAAGTGTAAATTCTGCAGATTACGTCATTGTCCAGTATTGTACTGTCAGCAATTTATAAAAACGTTTTCATAATTGTAACATGATACATATTTACATACATAATTATTCAGGTGCATGTGTAATAACTTGCGAAAACTTGACGCTACAGCAGCACTTCTTCGTCGTCGTCGTCTTGTTCCCGTAGGCGGGAATTATTTTAATGATATTCTAATGGGCCGCTTTGTGACATCACAAAACCCGGAAAACAAACGCTGTAGTCGTTGTAGTTCTTGAAAAGGGATTTTTTAAAAACAAAATATCTCCCTTTGGAGTGGACTTTGAGATGTGTAACTTTGTAGATCTTTTTTTATGCCCAATACACAATATCACTGGCTAAAATTCAAAAAGTGTAAAAGCATAATAGGACCCCTTTAAAAAGTCGCTTTAATCGCCCTTCCACAAATTAAATCAGAAAGTCTGCAAAGCATGCATTGCAAAAAATTAATATCTAAACATCCTTAAATCAAGATACATTTACTAGGGATGCAAAATGAAGAAAATTAATTCTTGTTTTCTGAGAAACAAAATTAACAAAACTTGCTTTCCCCTTGAATTAAGTTGAGTTTTTCTGAGCACATTGGCAGGTATTTGTTCTTGTTTTAATCTCAAACTCACTTCATTTTGATCAGTTTCACAGAAAACTTCAGACATTTACACTGGAAAACAAGACAAAAGTACTGAGGAAGAAAATCTGTTTTTTTGTTTTGTTTTTTGCAGTTTGATCAGATGGTACACTAAAAATTCCATATTCTAGTGGTTAATAAGCAATTGTTTTTGTAATTATTAAGTAATGAACAGTGTTGGGGAAAGTTACTTTTAAAAGTAATGCATTACAATATTGCGTTACTCCATAAAAAAAGTAACTAATTGCATTACTTAGTTACTTTTTATGGAAAATAATGCATTACGTTACTTTTGCATTCCTGGGCAGGGCTTGCTTATTTATTTTTAATAACAAAAACCCCAAAAGTTCTATATTTTGCAACTGTAAAAGCCCTTTCACACCAGAAGTGAAATGAATAAACCTCAGGCTGAAGAACCTCGTGCCTCTGGTCTTCACCTCACTACCAATTTATCTCAACACAGGACAGGAGAGGTTTCAGTGAATAAATGGGAAAGCAATGTAACTCAGATATTTTCTTGCGTTACTTGTTACTTGAAAAAAGCAATCTGATTACTTAACTGGTGTTTGGTAATGGTATGGTAATGAATATGTTTAAAGTAGCCTTTTCAAACTCTGAAGTGTTGCTAATACAACTCATTTTGTGCTCCCTAGATATTTACATTTAGAGAACTTATTGACGTATTGTGCTCCCTTCAAGTTATGCTTCAAATTTTTTTTACTTAGTCTTAAAAAGTCCTTAAAATTACCTTCATAAAATCTGAGTTGTTTGTCTTTCTTCAGTGAATGTGAAAGCTGTGGCTGCCAATTTCCTGCTCAGAAGATCGGAGACATAATGTGCTACAGATGTAGGCCTAAATGTATGTGAATTTGTAATTACACCCTTCATTTCAGCCAGCAGCAGAGGATAAGTATGATATTTGTGTGATTTGTATTGTCTAATTTCTTTATTTCTCATTTCTGCAGCAGACAAGAAGCACTCTCCTCCAAATATTGTGTTTAGGAAGGTATGTACCATTCTTGAGACTGGGATAAAACAAAACGTTTATGTGGCAGAAATGGTTTTGGATTAGATTAAGTTATTTATGTACGTTGTGGTCCTGCTTCTTCTATTTTAAATATGTTTTTCCATCTCTGAATCTCACCGGCAGATAAAACAATGTGTTCTGTCATGTCCAAAATTTATCATATATATTGACACTCAACTTTGATAAATGAATCCATTGAAAATATAGGACCGTTTCAAACTGATTTTCAGGTCCGGCTGTTGGAGAAACACAACATCTAACACCTTGTGTTGGCAGATGACAGTGTTAACAAAATAATTTTTTTTTGTATCACACATGTATTCAATGCAGCAGCTTTTTTTTCTTTCTTTTTGCTACCTAGTGCCAGGACATAGTAGTAATGTTTCTTTAAATATCCAAAAGTTGTTTTTGAGTTTACTGTAGTTTATATTTAATTTAAGTTTAATATATTTTATATTATATATTAGTAATATTATTATTATTAGTTATATTATATTAAGTTATGTAATAATATTTAAATATTTTATAGTTTAATAAAATAAAACATTTTATGCATTTAGGATATTTGTATAATTTTTATATATTTTCTGTATAAAGTATTGAGTTGTGTTCTGGAATGAAGAGTAGTGAGGAATATAGTTGCTAACAGAAAAAAATATAAATAAAAAAATATATAAAATTAATGCATTTTTAAAAAAGTAATATTCTAGTAATCATCTCTGATTAATTTCAAATTGGAAATGTCATTGTTTTCAAAACTAGAGGCAGGTCATATTTTGAGACATGATTTTTCCCATGTCTCAGTGCTATATACGTATATGTTTTTTTTAATGCAAGACTGCACATGGAAGGTTAAAAAAGCTTTTTTTATTAAATTGTACTTGCCAGAAAGTCCATGCATGGCCTTTCTTCCTCATCTGTGCTGTGTTGTTGTTGATATTGTGAAGTGGAAGTGAGGCAGTGTTGCTGCGTCTGTGTTTATGTCAGCTCTATGAGAGGTATAAGGCTTTGGCGATACTTTTGCGTTTTAACGTCTGAACTAACACAACCTAATTTCCCTTTTTTTTCTGCTCTCAATATATGAGCCAAAACTGTTGTTTGTTCTCCATAAGTTGCTGAACAAAGTCCAGATTATCCTTGATTTCTCTGCTAGCATTCTTTTATTCTCTTTTCTAGTAACTTACTTTCCCTTTATTTCCGATTCTGTCGAATCTTAACACCTTAGTTATCATATTTCCTTTGCTTAATTTTTATTATGCTTTTGTATTTTTTATTATTATTTTCAAGGTGGGGCAGGATCAGTGGGAGGTTGGGAAAACAAAACATCCAAGAAAACAAATGCTGGTAATAATAATCACATAACGTCATATAGACACATTCGTTGCATTTTTGGGTTGAAACGTGAAACTGCAGCATACACAAAAGCATTGCCAAAGATCATCAAAAAATTCATATAGCTGAACTACTTCACACCTAAACATAATGTCACTCTGTCTCCTGCAGAAACAAAATCCCAAATACAAGAAAATTGTAAAAATGGTGAGTGTACATGCTTTATGGAGCTAAATCTTTTTTTTTTTTTTTTTACATATATTGCATACTTCAAGCCTTTACAATGTAAATGGGTTCAGTGTATGGTTACTCATTCATGAGTCTGGCTGATTCATTATGTGCTGCTTCTAGTGCAGAAATCGCAATATATTCGGGAAAAGTACTATGCTTAAAATACTCATCCAGGTTTTTATTGTGTGTGTTATTTAGGATTTTGTCCCTGATGGTGATGATGATGATGATGATGATGATGACTGGGTGAGTGATTCAGCAGCACATTCTCAACCCAGCAGACATTAATCTTTTTTGGTGTTTTTTATTTTTGTATTTTTTTGAATCTGCTAACGATTGTGGCATGGGATGTTTTCAACCCTATAAAGCCTTCTGCATCATATTTGATACCTCTAAATTATCACCATGATCAAAACATTGCTGGAAAACCTGTTGTAGACAATCTTCTACGTGCCTTCTGACCCCTGATTGATAGACATGATCCACCTTCATGTGTTCTTCACAGATTTTTATAAACTAGATGTAAGAATAACTTCAGATTGTTAGTAATATTTCAAGATGAACACTTACTGGACTGACGCAACTTGGGTACATGCATAATTTTTTAGATGTTAAATTGTGAGTATCAAATATTACACATAAGGATTTTGAGGAATGTTTATTTGTTCATCATTGCATTATATGTTTTGCTTTCCACAATAAAAACTACAGAGCTTTGGGCAAAAAGGCATCTTACCATGACATATTATTGGGAGATATAGAGCAACAGCTAATATTTGTATGCATTTTCTGTAAGTAGTCTGCTGTACTGTTATATTTACATTCCAAGCATAATTTCATCTTACTGTTTGGCCAATCAATCAATGGTAATCAACAAAAATACATATGCAGACTGTCAAAATTTTGTCTATAAAGTGTCAGTAAACTGTTTCATTTCATTGTCAAACTATTTCATATGTCAGGCTTTACATGTTTTGAACATATTACGAATTGGACATGGAATATTCTTTTCCTGGTTATTGCTGAGCTCATAAAACCACTTTAGTTATGTTTTTATTACATGTCAAAAAATCTGGCCTTTATTAACGGAAGAGCACAATTTCTCTGTCTACTCTTGATTTCAGATTGTGAAGAAACGCAATCGCAGGATGTGCCGGCAGTGTGTTGCGTGTCTTCGTGAAGACGACTGTGGCAAATGCGACTTCTGCATGGACAAGCCCAAGTTTGGTGGCAGCAACAAGAAAAAGCAGAAATGCCGCTTACGTCAGTGCAAGTTTCAGTCAAGGCTTCATGGTCAAAGAGCATATGTACGTATTTATCTGATTAGCATCTAATGGCATCACTCAAGAGTAAGGTTACCACCTGACCACATGCCAAATAATGTAATGTTTAAAGGGGTCATATGCGATTTCAAGTTTTCCTTTCTCTTTGGAGTGTTACAAGCTGATTGTGAATAGATAAGATCCCTGAAGTTGCAAAGACTAAAGTCTCAAAACCAAAGAGATATTCTTTATCAAAGTTAAGACTCTGCCACGCCCCTGTCATGCAAGAAAAATTTCAGACTCGTCTGACAATAAAGTGTTATATATCATATATATATATATATCATATATCTTCCACAGAGAAGGAGAAATGTGAAGCCCAAGCTCAAGAGGCGCGGGAGACCGCCGAGAAAACGGAAATTCAGAAGCAACCCCTGGGAGGATGATGAGGAAGTTTCTGATGATGATGATGATGATGACAAAGAAGACTTGAGGCATTATAAGATGAATGGCGGGAAAGGAGGAAGGAGGAAATGGAATTACAGTTTTAAGGAAGATGAGGAAGACATGTTCGTTGAGGCCTTGATTGAGGATGACGGACCGTCCAACACAGAGGAGGTTTCTGATTTCTAAATGTTGCAATCAAAGATTTCAATGTTTCACAACCAGTCACTAAAACACTGTGTAGTTTTATGCTGCTTTCACGCCAAGACATTTCAGTCAATTCAGAATTCAATTCAGAAATATCATATAATTAGGTTATTAAATATTTTCATGATTGTATTTAATGTTATATTATCTTTGTTTACTATTTTTATAGGATCCTGATATTTTGGGCAGTGAGAGGTCAGCGATGGTGTCTAATGAGATGAGCTCAAACACGTCTGGACTCAGTGCTCAGGTAAGACTTTCTACAGCGTTTCCAGCCTTGGTTCTGAAATTAGTTTCCTAATTCATAGGCATTAAAAAATATGAAATAAAGAGTTCTAAGCCTTGAAATAAACAAATTAGCTCTGAGATCAATTGTAACTCTTTTATTTAAAGACATTTTTTTTAAAAGAAGGTACAATGAGTACTTATATTTACATTTTATGCATTTGGCAGATGCTTTTTATCCAAAGGGTCATACATTGCATTCAAAGTATTAGGACTGCACTATTTGGGGAAAGAAATGGTTGTGATATTTCTAATTAAAAATTTCAGTTGTGATTAAAAAAAAAATAAAAAATTTAAAAATCCAGGTTTGCTGTGCTTGTTTGTAGGACTGCACAGTTTGGCCAAAATTGTTATTATTATTATTAAACATTACTAAATAAAACCAAATAAGAAATATTACTATTATAATATTTCACTGTAAACAAAAACAAGCATTTAAGAAAAGTATAATATATATATACAGTGGGTACGGGAAGTATTCAGACCCCCTTAAATTTTTCACTCTTTGTTATATTGCAGCCATTTGCTAAAATATATATGAGTGTCACAGCAAAGGGTCTGAATACTTAGGACCATGTGATATTTCAGTTTTTCTTTTTTAATAAATCTGCAAAAATGTCAACAATTCTGTGTTTTTCTGTCAATATGGGGTGCTGTGTGTACATTAATGAGGAAAAAAAATGAACTTAAATGATTTTAGCAAATGGCTGCAATATAACAAAGAGTGAAAAATTTAAGGGGGTCTGAATACTTTCCGTACCCACTGTATTTTTTACATTACAGCTATAAAATTACAGTACTACTATTAATGGTTGTGTTAATATATATAATTTCAAACATTAAACCATCAAAATTTTATTTTGACGAAGAACAGCAGGGAGCCGTTAAAACAGTAATACTTATGGTTCATTAGTTAATGTTAATGAATACATTAACTAATATTAACAGTATTACAGTATTTATTAATCTTTGTTTATGTTTATTAATAAAAGTACAGTTGTTCATTGTTAGTTCATGTTAGCTCAGGTCCATTCCTTAATATTTACAGAAAAAAAAACATTGGATTTTAATAATGTATTAGTCAATTTTGCAATTAATATGAACTGAAATTAATAACTGCTTTACGAGTATTTCATTGTAAGATCATGTTAATTAATGTAGTTAACTAATGTTAACAAATGAAGCCTTATTGTAAAGTGTTACCATTAAAGCTTTTCTTTTATTGATCAGTGCTTCTCATTACAAGTATTGGGAGACTGTTAGTGCATGCTGCCTTCCCAAATTTGAAGTATTTATGCTCTAGTGATTAAGCATCTAATAATTAACATTATTTAGTTATGTACCAAACATTACCTTAGTTGCCTGCAAAAATCTCTGACTGGTGAATTTTGCATCAGGATTGTTGGTAGTGCACCAGGAGTTTTGGAAATCTGCAGCGTCCAGTTATGTATGGTATGTGTTGGTGGCCACTGAACGCTGGTGTTTGTTTGAATGTCTGCATGTTTCACAGGGATTATACTACAACATGTCAGGCGTGCCGGCGGCTCCTTATGTGCTTGGATCAGTACCTTTGTGTAACAGCAATCCAGTGCCGATGGGGGATGATGTGCCTCAGAACGGTTTTCTTCAGATTGAGATGGTGAGAGTGGGATCACCACCGTCACATTACACAGAAGAAGCTCAGAACACAGAACAGCACGTGTCAGAACCTCAGCAGGAGCCCACGCCGGTGGTGAGTCTGTCTTCACTGCTACCCAATACAGCACTATTCAAAAGTTTGAATGTTTTCGAAAGATGTCTCTTCTGCTCATCAAGGCTGCATTTATTTGATCAAAATACAGTAAAACTATAATATTGTGAAATGTTATTACAATTTAAAGCAAGTCTTTTCTATTTGAATATATTTTGAAATGTAATTTATTCATGAGATGCGAAGCTGAATTTTCAGCATCATTTCTCCAGTCTTCAGTGTCACATGATCCTTCAGGAATCATTCTAATATGCTGATTTGCTGCTCAAGAAACATTTCTTATTATCAGTGCTGAAAAGAGGTGTGCTGCTTTATATTTGTGTGGAAACCATGATACGATTCTTTGATGAATAGAAAGTTCAAAAGAACAGCATTTATTTGAAATAGAAATCTTTTGTAACATTATAAAAGTCTTTACTGTCAGTTTTAATCAGTTTCATGCCTACTTGCTGAAAAAAAGTACTAATTTTTTTAATTCCTATAATTTTAATTAATTAATTAATTATTATTAGACCTTTATTTAATTTGAATTCATTTTAATTACATTTTATAACTTTAATTTCTATATATATATATATATATATATATATAATTGAATATATATATATATATTTAAATCTTACTGACTCCAGTTGTTTAACAGTATAATGTATATATAATATTTTGATTTAATTTATATAATTTATTTTATTTTTTCTTTCTTTGCATATACAGCCTTTTATTTTCAGACAAACTTGAACATCATTATATAACAAAATATTAAAGTGACATTTATTTCAAAGAAAGCTAGCACAAGCATGCCTTCAAGCAAACCATTTCACAAAAAGGAGGTTTTATTGATTATTTGTCAATTTATTAAAAGGACTAAGCATTTTTGTCACACGCGTTAATGGATCATGTTGATAGTTAAAGTGATTTTTCTACACCTGTGGTTATTCTTCTAGGATACTTTTGTGAGCTTGAGCAGAACTGACCTTATTTGTGACCCTGGAGCACAAAACCAGTCTAAAGTTGCTGGGGGATATTTGTAGCAATAGCCAAAAATACATTGTATGGGTCAAAATTATTGATTTTTCTTTTATGCCAAAAATCATTAGGATATTAAGTAAAGATCATGTTCCATGAAGATATTTTGTAAATTTCCTACTGTAAATATATTAAAACTTAATTTTTGATTAGTAATATGCATTACTAAGAACTTGATTTGGACAACTTTAAAGGTGATTTTCTCAATATTTAGATTTTTTTTCACACTCAGATTTCAGATTTTCAAATAGTTGTATCTCGGCCAAATATTGTCCTGTCCTAATAAACCATACATCAATAAAAAGCTTATTTATTCAGCTTTCAGATGATGTATAAATATCAATTTCGAAAAAATTGACCCTTATGACTGGTTTTGTGGTCCAGGGTAACATATATACACTAAAAATCACCATAACATCAATTCATTAAAAGTCAAAATGGCTAAAACAGTGAAGTTAGTTCTTATTTTGTTTCTAGATACCACTTGGTTGATGACTTCTATTATTGTGTACAATGTCTGAACAAATTCAGACATGTTTAAGCGTCAATCTTTACAGCCATGTCCTCTAACCCCTATTTTGAAACCTTCAAAATGTGATGATTGTTGATTTCAAATACTTTCAGCACAGTCAGAGATTTCCACAGCTATCAACCATGTCAGACCATGCAAATGTCACATCTGCTTTCATAGATCACTCAGATCTTCAGTCTGGCGGGAGGAGAGAACGACTGCGACCGAGACCAAGGCCTGACGGAGCTGTTCACTTCCCTAGGCCAGACCGTGCTGCCCGCTCACTGGGTGGGCATCATGGCCAAAGGCCCCCTCCTCCAGCTGCTGCAGTGCTCCAAACTCTCCACCATGGCTGACACGGTGGTCCAGATCGAGAAGGGCTTCTTCTACCAGGTCAGTGTCCAGAACCACCCTCTGCTGCTGATGCACGCCGTCTACTCACGCCACCCCACCTGCCTCGAGTCAGTCGAAGACGTGGTGTCGCTCTTGCTGGACTTGGAGGGGCTGGGCGTGTGTCAGGGCTACCAGAACTTCCACATGGGCTCACCGTGGGAGCCTAGAATGAGCGTGAGAGCGGCTCTGTGCGATTTACTCATTCCCAAGGACGAGGAACAGTGTCCAAAATGCACACAGCCTGTGGAGGGTTGAGCAGCCGTGCGAGAATTTACTGTGAGTTTTCGACACATCTAGTAGTTCGAGAGAATCTTCCACCAGTTTTTAAGCTTATAGTGCAGTCAGAGCTGTTTCCGACCTCATGATGAATTGCCATCTAAAATGGTGCTTCTTATTTAGTTTATTTATTTTTTTTTTTAGAAAGAAGTTAGTGACACAACCTTCAAAAAAGGACTCGTAAAACACTGAGTTTTACCAAATTCCCTTCTTTTCGTTGCTTTCTGGTTGGGTTTAGGACATAAATACATTCAGTTCTCACTTAAACTACCTCTTCATTATTTTATGGACCAATTTTAACCTTAAACCTCCCACGTGCCCTTATTGATTCAGACGTTTGGTCAACAAGTTTATTGTAGTACAATGAGAAGTATGGAAGCGTGTTTCCGCCATGAGGTAAAAAAAAAAAAATTCTCAAAATTCAGACTTTTTTTTCTTGTAATCGCGATATAAAATCTGAATTTCAAGATATAAAGTCAATTCTGAGAGGAAAAGTGCAAATTGTGCAATCACAATTGCGGGAAAAAAAATCAGAATTGTGAGATGAAAAGTCGCTTTTTTTATTTTGTGGCGGAAGCAAACAAACAATTGCGAGGTGTAAACTGAGAATTTCAAGAGAAAAAGTCTGAATTACGAGATGTAAGCTTGGAATTGCGAAAATGAACATCAGAATTTAGATTAGAGTTTATATCTCGCAGTTCTGAGAAAAAAAGTCTGAATTGTGAGATAAAATCACAGTTACCATATTATTTTTTTTTTATTCTGTGGCAAAAACGGGCTTCCGTAGAAAAGTGTATTCTGTACTGCCTTTGTCGTGCTAAATTTGGGGTTGTATGTTCAAATCTAAAGTTGTTTGAACACAATTTTAAACCAAAATCATTCAAGCTTTAAAAATCGTCTGTTTTTTTATTGATGCCTTCCACTGTAAGGTGCAACTTTTTACCCCAAAGCGAGCACACCGTCTTTCATTATGTGTGCTTTACGTCTTTTTTGCAGGATTCTCATTACGAGTGTTTTTATGTGCTCTGGTCTTTTTTTGTCCTGTTGTTAATCACACCTGCTTCCATGTGACTTAATTGTGTTGCGTATGATAAAGTGCAACTAACGGCACTGCGATCCGCAATGCATTTTTGCTGTTGTGTGTATTATTCCCAGTCTACAGTAGACATCCGACCGGAGGACATTTCACTGATCAGCCTTTAGGTATATTTGAATTCTTCCTAGGAGATAAATCGATGCAGTTAACATTTGACTAGTTTTTATTTCAGTGCAACATTGTTTTTCATTCCTGAGTGATTGTAATTCATATGTTTAAGGCAGATTTTTGTTTAACCTCTACTCCTGGAGATCTGTATAAAATAAGCTGTAAAATATACATAATTGTCTGAAATTATTTATAAATAGAGGATGCAAGCTAGAGGTGTTTCTGAGAGCATCTCTGTATTGTAAATCTTGCTCTTTTGGTCTGTTTAACCACCGAGTTCAGTTTTTGAAACACTGTAAAGTAAGATTTTTATGACGAGTGGGTAAAATAAAGGTTTCTTTTTTTCTTATATAGAGAGAAAATTCTGCTCTTTTTTTCTGTCTGAAGTGACAATCAGAATCATTCTTGATCCATGATGTAATGCAGGGGTTTTCGAACTTTTTGGTCTATGAAAAATGTAGGAAAAAAACAATAACTTTGCAACATGTACTTTTTGATGTGGTAACTTGCAATTAATGAAATATGATTTCATGCAATAAATTTATTGAATTTGACCTGTCCGATTTTATGATTATTCAGTTGACAACATTTGTAATGTTGTAATTCAAATTTGACTTTCATTTATTTAAGAAAAATGGGGGTTGTGAACAACATTTGCTGTGAAAAGCGGTATACAAATACATTTAGATTGAATTAAAAATGTTTATGCATCCATCAGTTAACAAACATACACGACATATGCTGTCAACTTTCCAGAACATTTCAAAAAAATAATTTTTGGCTTTAGTACGGTGGCAAATTAAAAGGCAATTATTTATTCAGAAAATACATGGATAATATTATGCTTGCGTTTTTAGTCTCACAGTATAAATGGGACTTTATGCATGAAAATATACAGATGGCTTTATATTTTGTGAGATTTCCTAGCAAGAGGATCATCATATGTGGATGTTGAAAGCCCTGATGTAAGTGTCGCCGTTCTTTGTGATTTTAAACAGTATTCCACAAGAGGGCCTCATTCTCTTAATTTAGCAGTGCATGTAGATGCAGCAGATGTTTATGAATGGATCTTTTTGAAGCGACACTTTACTGCTCTCTTGAAAGACTTCTTGAAAGATTTCTACTATGGAAGACAAAAATGTTATTTCTATATTAGCTGTGACTCTTGGAGACACCTGCAGTCAGTTCCTGTGGGTTGAGCAGCGAGTCGAGAGAGAGAGACTCATTCATGGTGTTGTGCATCGATCCTGAATGAGCTGCTTTGTTTCCATATGGAAGTGAGAGGAAAGTGACCCCAGTGGCCTTCCGTCTGATATCTGGCTTTGGCATTCAGTCACTGTCTGATATTCATATCCTCCTTGTATCACTATTTTAGCATGTGTGCTTTCAATGGATCTGCCAATTACAAAGCAGCCTATATATAAAAGAGAATGAGGCTGTCAAAAATAGAAAATATATAACCTATACAAACTTTACATCAAAAGAGGCTTTTTTGATCATTTTGTCATTTTATTGTTACATTTTCGTATTCTTTTGCATTATTATTTTGTATTAAAGGGCTAGTTCACCATCAGTTGAACCATCAGTTTTTTTCCTCTCCATACTGTGGAAGTCAATGGGGACCAGCAGCTGAAGGTGAACTAGCCCTTTAAGACACCGCTACAGCTTTTGAATTTTTGTGCAGGATTTCAGGCCTGTGTTGAGGACGGAAACCATTAACAAATCAAACTCAAGCAGAGATATTGAATGGGAAGCTGATTTATCCACCAATTCTTAATCTCCAACAAGGCTTTATGGATCATGGCTGTGGATTAACCCTTGAAATGCCAGAGAAGGGTCAGTAATAAGCCATCAATCAGAGAATTAATAACACAGCTGATGCATAACAATTTAGTTTTATTGTGTTTTTTTTTTTTTTTTTTTTACATGTCTTTCAGTAGGAACATTGACTATATATATATAGAGAGAGAGAGATTATATATATATATATATGTGTGTGTGTGTGTGTGAGTAAAACGTATATATTATACTTAATTTATTATATAGAATTTACAATATATTATCTATTTATATATTTATAATATATAGTATACATATGATCTATAATAATATATGAGTATAATACTTAATTTATTATATATATATTTAACTTTATATTTATTATTAATTATAATAATTGTATATATTCAGTGTTCCTACAGATATATATATATATATATATATATATATATAAAAAAATAATAAATGATCAAATAAATTAGTAAT